CTGTGTCTCTGCCTTTGTTAATTGTGCCCATCATAGGCATACTCAATCCACACGCCCGCTCCTCATTTGTGTGTGTGGTTAATAACCCATAATTTGTGCAGTTCTTTCACAGCCTGACTCAGCCATTCACTGCTCGCTGCTTGACTTGACTTTGAGTGTGAGTATTCATTACACAGAGCGGCAGTCAAGGGCTGTAATTGATATGTGAAGCGAGAGAGAAATAAAGACTAAGGGAGAAAGACAATTAATGGCAGGCCTTGCCATGACGTATACGTAATGTAGCCACAAAATAATTATAACCATATTAAAGTGCTCCACAAAATGGACAACACTTGAGCTCAACCTCTGGCTCTGGCTCTGGCTCTGTCCCTGGCCCTGACTTTGGCTTGAATAATTCAATAACAATTTACAATCAATTAAAGCGACTTGCGAAAGATTAAAAATCTCAGCCAACATTTATTACGTGTGAGACGGAATGAGTGTGTGCGGTGTGTGTGACCCTGTCTGAACTCAATTTAGCGTTTACTCATGGTCCATTAATTTGCCATTTTCATGCTAGGTGCAATAAAGTGCAAAACGGGAACAAAGGCGGAAGGCAGAAGGCAGCAACCAGAAGAAGGCAGAAACACAAACGAAACAGCCCACACACACACACAGAGAGAGAGAGAGAGAGAGAGAACAGCCCCACCAAAAGTCGACACCATCAAGGACCCAGAAAAAGGGTCACTTCCAGTCGACAGGAAAGGCACAGCACAAAGCCCTGTCTCGGCCCGAGGACCCCCTCAACGACCAATTACAACTAAACAGCTTTAATTTAATTTGAGCCCGAGCCGGAGCCCCGCTCCATTCGGGCCTACCCACAGTCCAGGGCCCTTCCGACCAACTCTTCTCTTCATTTTGCTGCCGCTGCCCTGCCGCTGCCGCTGCCTCTGCCTCTGCTGGCCGAGAACAATGGCGCGGATGTAATGTTCGCATTATGCTCGTTCACAAATTGTAAGCAGCCATTATGTTTCTTCATGTTGGCCATGTTTCCCCCCCCCGCCAGCCAGCCAGCTCTGCTTCTCCCCTGTGTTTTGCCGCCGCATTGTAAGACCCAAGGACCAGGGGCAGGAGCGAACCTGAAACCGAAACCCCGCCCTAACATCAGGCTCTAGATTTTGCCGTGTTTTCCATTGTTCCAGTCGGACTACTGCCGGGCTGCTGCTCCTTGTACCCTGCTGCCTGGCTCTGTCTCTCCCCCTCGGACTCTGACTCTCTGTCGTATGTCAAAATAATGGTGGTAATGGGCAGTCATTGCGTTTTGTTTGGCACTGCCCCCCGGCCAGCAGCAATGTCCCTCACCTGGAGGTGGGTCTACTCCTGTAAGACAAGCAGCAACCCAAAACATTTTCCAACATTAATTTGGCTGTGTCGCAAAGCTAAAGAGTTGCCAAAAATACATGACTTAATGCCCAGAAAGTGTCATAGTTGCCGTAGGAATTGCATGTGGAGTCTGATCAAAAGTGATTATACATTGGGGAATATTTCAATTAAACTTCAGGGAAGTATAACAGAAAGAGCCAGGCAGCAGCTCTTTTGATTAGTTGTATCAACTGCAAGCCACTCTAGCTACGACTACAGCCCTGTCTGAGCATTTCCACACACATTTTTCAATAGTTTATACGAAACGATCATCTGAGGGTTAACTCCCTTTGAGTGCTTTTCATTTGGTTGCAACAACTTTTCAATTTAGTTCATCTACACATCAAATAATAATAGAGCAGACCACAAGACAGACAGACAGATTTTGGAAATCACACAGCCTACACTTTGCGGTCAAGAGCAACAAGTGGAGCCAGGGCCGAGATTTAGACCCCCAAAGAAGTTTGAAAACATACAAATGTGGTTGTCGGGGTCACTGCAAATAAAATGAAACAGTTAATGAAACACGCACAAGCCATGGACAATTAGGTTGTTCAATTTACCCTACAAGATTCCACATTAAAGGCAACAATTTTGTGTCTAAGTAATTGAGTGTGTCGCAGCAGTGGCAGGTGTGGGCCTTGCGGATTACGAAATCATCAGCAAATGATTACGCAGCTCAGTGATTAGAACCAAGTTTAATTCAATTGAAAATTCGATAATCGAGGGAAAGCCACAGCCAACTTTAGACCCATTGGTTGAGCATTAATTAGACGCTCTTAAAATACAATTAAATAAGGGAAATTAAGTGTTTAAATTGAGTAGTAAAGTGCCAGGCAACAAAGGCAAAAGTCAAGGTGAATGGGCAGACTTGAGGCAGTAAATAAAAGAAGAACATTTCGAGGCTTAAACCAAGCGAAGAAGGATCAAGGCTCTAAATTAAGAGCAGAAAATTCGAGTTTTTCTCCAAGAGCAAAACATTCGAGGCTTAAACTAAGTGAAGAAAATTATATTCTTCAACTAGGAGCAGAAAATTCAACTCCGAGTAGAATTTTCCACTGCCTTTATGCTAGTTTTTGTTGGCTTTTCCTCTGCTGCCTTCGTATATTTTTTTGCATTTTTTATTCGCCTGCCATTTGCACAGAATATATTTTTGGTGCAAAACTCAATTGAAATCAAACCCGGAATGCCACGCATGAGTTTTCAATCCACGCAAATCAAACGCACTCACACGTTGAGGGTCATAAATTGTGTGCTGGCTGCAGAGAGACCAGCAACCGCGTAATTTCAGCGCTTTATTTATGCATCAAATGGCGTGATTTATATGCCAACACAAAAACTCTCAGCGGCAGACCACAAAACACATCACTTCAAGTGTTCATTGTTGTCTTCTACACTTGTCTTGTTTGGGCACAGGCCAGAGCCTTAACATTCATATGTGTTTGAATATATCTACCAAAAAATACAACTATAATTCATTGTAAATAAAGCAAAGAAAACACACAATTATTTATCACAGCGCAGACAGACATCAGCCAGTGATGCCCAGCGGCTCACTACCAGAAGCATCGAGCAGGAGCTGCTGCCCCACACACAAAGAAAATTCAACAAAACAAATGTCAGTCAGCAGACAACAGACAGTGCAGAGGGGACATTGGACAGGGGTACGGGGTACGGGTCTGTGTCGCGCCTACCAAAAGCGGCTCAAAGTTTCAGGGCGACAACAAAAAAAAAACAAATCTTCTCGGGTACTTTTTTTGTCTTGCCTTTTTTTGTTGTTGTTTGTTTGGCTGAGGGGAACTCTGCGTGGACTCTATGCTTGGCTTTGGTTGGACTCTCTTTTTGGCTTTGGTTCTGGGACACTGCTGACAGCACAGGGTGGACGGGGGGGCTGGGCAAGTGAGTTGGAGCTGACACTCCGTCGGACTGGTGATGGTGCTGTTGGCCTGGAGTTCCGTCTCTGGGCGACATATTTTGTGCTAAATCTTCTTGTTCACACTAACGCGTTTGCTGACAGTTTTTTCTTGCTTCATTTTTGGGTGTGTTTTGTTGTTGCTTTTTCACAGATTTCAAGTGTGACAGTCGGTCCGTCAAGCAGTCAGGCAGGCGGCTGGGGTGGGGTGTCGTCGTGTCGGTGTGAAATCTCTCGGTAAATGACCAAAACAAACACCCACATAACAGCAGACCCAGGCACTTGCTAAATCGTACTTTGCATCAGGGTCACACTGTTCCGGTTGCCCCACCGCCCAGCGACTGTAAGCTGCGAACGATCTGGCAACGATCACGCAAGTGGTTTGTGTCTTGGCTATAAACTGGTTTTGCGACTCTCAATGGATGCTGCGAGATGTTCGTTCGTTTGTTCGGACAGCTGCTGTTAATTTGGCAGTTTTTCAAGCGCCGCTGACATTGACCCAGTTAACGTCTGACGCTCCAACGTCTTTTGCTGCCTCATTTGCCGCCGCCGCGATCGGAACAATGCTCGTAAATGTTGAGCGCTAATTGCGGTCACTAACATTTTGGCGGCCATTCACACAACAAACAAACAATGGTAACAATAACAACAACAGCAGCAGCAGCAGCATCAGCAGTGACTTGATTCATCTTTGGAAAATGCATTTGCATTTCGTTGAGAGCAGTCTCCACTGACCTGACCCGAAGCCGAAGCCACAACCAAACAAGCTGCCAGCCCATCAACCAAATTTGCATATTCGATTTTGGATTTGTGTTGCGCTCCTACCCCACGTTAGTTTTGATTCTAATGCGCTTATGCGTAGAAAGTGAAACTCATCTCTAATTAGACGAAACATGTGCCTATCAGAGCAGATACTCCTGCATATTCCACAACTCAACTCATATGCCCCAAGGCTAATTATAGTTCTTTTTTGGTTCATTATGAAACAATTTTAGCCCGAGCTTAGGAAGCATTTTCATTGTCGGAAAATGAGAGAACCAAAATGGTTTGTGCCTCATGCGTAGATTGCCACTGGATTGTTTGGCTATGAATTTAGAATTGATTAATAATTTTGATAAATTGTATTCCTCCTTTTATTTCTGTTTATTTGTGCATATTTATGTGTCTTGCTTTTATCTCCAATTCTGTGGCAAGTCATTATCAAGAGACAAATGGAATTTGATTTGTAGATGGGGCATATAAAAGTGAAATAATATGGAAATTCAACAATAGAAAATCGGAAAATGCATTTAGACCCGAGTTTTAAGTTGAATTTTTTGATAAATTCTTTTTATGTATGAATATTGTGTTTGTTTTTTTTTTTGCATTTTTCTCTAATTCGTAGCTAAAATGTATTCAAGTATTTTAAATATTTATACAAAGTGAAAATAAATTGCTTTTTAATTTGTCAACAAAGGTTTGAAATAAAGAAGTTAACAAGGAAATTCGAAGACAGACAATTGCTGTTATAAATTTGAATGGTTTTAAACATTTTAAAAATATTTATCAAATATTTGTATAAATTAAAAATAAATTACTTTTGAATTTAGGAAATATTATCCCCAAAAAATACTCCCAAAATTCCTAGACACACATTTAAGTCTATGGACTGCTTTTCTCTCTAATATAAATGAATTTTTGAACTCACATGGAGCCCTTGGGCACTGTCATGTTCAGGCCATCCAGCACGACATTGGGATTCTTGGTGCTGCCGTACATTTTATGGGCACGCCTCACACACACCGCCTGCTGGCGTCGCGTCGCCAGTGTCGAGGGCTGTGAGATGAAGAGCCGGCGACGGGCCGCCAAATCCAGATCACTGTTGGCCGTTGTCGCTGCTGCTGTTGGCGCCGCTGGCGGCACACCATCGGCTGCTGCATCCATGTCGTAGTGGCAGTCTGCGAAAAAATATCATAGTGCATAAATCGATATTAGTATTGTATATGGGTTTGGACATGGCGCAAAATTGAAATAAAAGAATCTCAAATTGGCACACAGTGCGCTGGCTCTGGCACTGTCTCTGGCGCTGTCTCTGGCGCTGTCTCTGGCGCTGACTCTAACGCTGGCTGTGTCATTGTATTTGGCGTTGCTGTTGTGTGCATTGACAAGGAATGTGCATATCGATGGTGATGTGTGTAGCTCTAAAATTTATAGTTTATTTAAGGGGTACTTGCAGTTCCTCATAGAGTTTGTCAGGGGTTAGGTATAGTATCAGCTCATATGCTAATTGATCCATAAATTCAGCAAGGAAAGCGGCAGACAAAGTCTCTTAAATATATATAATTGTTGCAGCTTGGTTTCCGCAGCCTCTCCAACCCACTTTAGTGTATAAATTTCTACTGCACGCCATGCATACTTTCCAGCTGTCTGTCTTGTTTATTGCTGCCTGTCTGCCTATCGCCTACATTGGCCGCTGCACTTTTAACCTTTGTCCTTTGTCGCCCCCTGGTTGTTGCTGGCTATTTTAGCTAGTGTCGTCGTCGTCGTCGTCGTCGTCGTCGTTGCAGTTGTTTCACAGTTGATTAAACCAATTTTTGTATATCGTCAAGGCAGCCCCCCGACCCGCACCGGTCAGCAGCTTTGGCTTTAGCCTCGTGATGGATATTGCTGTCATGTAGATTTCGAGCCACGCCTCGATGTTTTTGTTGGTCCTGCTGCTGCTGCTGCTGCTGCTGCTGCTGCTGCTGGCTATTGCCAATTTTTGGCTCGAACGAAATCAAATTTTGAAAATGGCTTCGCTTGTCGCCAGAGACCCCGCATGATGCTATCTCTCTCTCGATAACCCCATGTCCCAGGTCCACGCAGGACCCTTTCCTGCGTCCAGTATCCTCTCTCTGTGCTAACTACCATTTGGCCCCTGTGCAGTAGTGGCATTTGCCAGTTAACGACAATTTGGCCAAGTGCTTTGGTAGTTGCTTTTTATTTTCGTTTTCATTTTCGTTTTCATTTGAAATTGACATTTTGCTAATCGAAAATGCAGCAAACTATTTTCGGGGGGATAGCAGCAAAAGTTTTGCAATTATTTTGGATGCCGCAAAAAAAAAAAGAAGGAAGAGAAACTGAAACAAAAATCCAGCACCGATTTATTGATTTACTTCGCACTAACAATGGGCCCGGTACGCCGTAACAAATAAATAAAAATAAGCATACAAAAACAACCAACAAACTAAGTAACGGAAACAACAACTGACGGGAGACGGACGGGATGTGGCTTCCAGAGTTCTCTTTGGGCATTGAGAATGGGTTTCGGGTTTGGGTTTGGGTTTTGTGTGTGTTTGGTTTCAGTTTCGGTTTGGGTTGCTGCTGCTGCTGCTGCTGCTGTTGTGTTTAGTTTTTTGGTTCGCTTTTGGAGCGACTCCGGGCTGCAAGAAATAAACTTTCTTGATAAATGACTTCAATGTAATTAATTTCTGCTCAGTTCAGACCCCAGACAATGGCCCTGGCACGGGTCCTGCTACTGGATCGGTGTTTCGGTTTGTTTCTGCTGCTGTTCTGTGGCAAGCAGCTCATGAGCTATGCCTTGGCAGCGGCAAATGCTGTCATTGCTAATGTCCTGCCCCCAGCATTTCAATTAAGAATTATTGTTTAAAGCTGTAAGCAGCCAGCAGAGCAATCTTTATTGCTGTCAGCTGGCCATGTGCCTCAGCAGATTATAACCGAATTAGTGTCAGGCAAAAGCACTGCAATTGAGTCGCAACAAAAGACAAGTCCCTTCAAGGACTCTCAGTCTCTCACTTATGTCATCCCTATACGTCGACTTTGGGTCAAGCGTTGACTCAATTTTGTTGTTAATTAACTTATTTTTAAGGCAATTAATATGCACAGCACGGGGCTGACCCACAGGAATGAATCTTGGGCACCAATTAAAACTTTATGCGGTAGCAGCCGCAACAATTTAATCAAATAAATGCTCAAAACTAAGTCCAGCAGAAGATGGATCTTTGCAGCAGAACAAACAATAAATAAATAGATAAAAGGTAAAGCCATTCCAGCTTTAAATGTAATCAAAATTGGAGAACAGAAAGGGAGAACAGAAAGGGTTTCTCCCAAAACCGTTGCCAAAAGATCTTTAAACGTGTGCCTGTCTCTCTCCCTCTCTTTACCTCTCTTGTCTATGAGATGCCTATCGACTGCACAGATTTTTCTATACGCTTGGTGTGCCATCTTTATGGTTGCTTTTGTCTGAGTCTCGTTGGTGGTCGGAAACAGGTGCCGTCTTGGCAGCCACTCGGAAATAAATAAAATCACACACAGCCAGCCAGCCCCTGAGGATAAGCCCAAGGTATTTGCCGGAGGCACACATGCATGAAAGGTAAAATATGTTTATACAAATACAAAGACAGTCGGGCAGAGAGAGAGAGGCGTATAAACCTTCCCCCTCGAAAAAAAGTTTCAAGTTCGGGCCAAAGCATAAAGAAGTGCAAATTGTTGCGTGCTGCGATTGTATCTATCGAATGTGAGCACACGAAAGCTATTTCCTGCCAACAAATATAAACGCCGCAATAAAAAAAGGAAAAGGAACAGCGGCACAAGCAATGGCCACGCCCATAAAACAGGCGCGACAATGAGTGGAACTTGTGGGTCGGGCCGCAAAAGTTTTTGCGGCAAACAAGGAAACAAAGTTGTAAACTCAAATGATTATCTGGTGCCTTACACTTGTCTAGCCATAGATAAACACACGTCTCTGTAGCTGTAGCTGTGTATCTGCGTTTTGGGATTTGTTTTTAGGCAGGTAAATAAACGAATGCTTAACCCCAAACACACACACACACACACGCACACACACACACACAGAAATGCCAGTCACATCCCAAGTGGTGGGCGGGGCATTTATGGCGGCATAAGTTTATGTTCGACTGACTCGGTTCGACACTTTTGTGGCATTTATGATGCATGTTTACAGCTGAATTAGGAGGTTGCTAGATCAGATGTAGCAGCTAGCGTGAAGGGCAAAATTTAGTACGAGAATTAGGTTAAGGTTATGGAAGATTATAGAGGATTAGAGGGTATACATTTTGGTGCATAAAAATAATGATTTAAAAATGATTCTGCTGCTTTTAGCAATTTAAGGACAAGGCTCAAAGCCTCTGCCTGCAAAGGTTTTTCCCAGCAATTTTCTTGCCATAATTTTGGCAGCACTTTCATTCATCGGCTTGAGTGAATCATTTGAGTGCCTCGAACTGAGGCGCTGCTTCCGTCACATCAAGTTCGAGGCAAACTCTCTCGAAATGGGTCAATGGCAGCCTGGCCAAAGTCATTTGCATACACACAGCGACAACGACAACGACAACGACAACTCTTTTGCAGACTAATAAATATTTATATGCACACACACTGCGCCGCTTTGTCGCTTTTATGCGCCGCCCTCAAACACTTTTAACAACAACAAAAAAACAGAGAAAAAAAAGAGAGAGAGAGAGTGGAAAAAAACGTGGAATATAATAACAAATTTCCACAAAATTTTACGCTCAATAAATTTGTAAAGCAACACAAAAAAAGTGTAGCCTGGTCAGCGGCGAAAAGTGCGCTCATGTGTGGGTAATTCATGGACACGGGGAATAACACACACACACACACACACACACACACAAGCGAAAGAATTTGCAAAATAGTTAGCAAATAATTTGGCACACAAGTCAAGGGAGAAATCCTTTCAGGGTTCAGGTTCATGCAGGGCTATAAAGTGTTTAACATAATTTCTTTTTTTTTTTTTTGGGTTACAGACAGAGACAGAGACTGAGGCTGAGACGCTGACTTGGCCTGGCTTAGAACAAATTGTTTGCATTTAAATGTAAATTTTCATATAATTTTCATGTATCCCAAAAATTGAAAATCCTCGCACACAACTTAAGCAGAAGCACACACACACACACGGAACACACACGAGCAGAAATTTTGTGCATATTTGTTTGCTGGTTTAAATTTTGTGCTCCGACACACGCACAGCGGAGGGGCTGGGGCTGGGGCTGGGGCTGGGGCTGCGGCTGGGGCTGGGCTCTGGCTGTAGCAAAATATAGTTCTGAAATTCAACAAACAATTTCCTGGGTGTAACCACAAAATGTTCGAAGCCTGAGCCAGGCATACAGAGATATGGCAGATGGCAGTAGAAAACACTCATAGATACTCATAGATCGTTTGTTATGCTCGTTGGGTTTGGTTTTGGGAACAGAACGGGGGATTTTGGGCATGTGGGTTAGAGCTGGAACTGGGGCTGAAGCTGCCTAGGGAGCTCTGCTGATGTGTGCTGTAGCTGCTGTAGCTTCTGGTAAGCGCATTTGTATTTAATGAAGCCTATTTTTCTTACCGAACATGAACCGCAATTATTACGAGTCATTAGTTTGCAGCTCGGCCCATCGAGAGCAGCATCGAAACTAATGCATAATGAAAGGCCTGGGCCTGGGCCTGGGCCTGTGCTTACAGATAATAATGTATGGAACTGCTGAGTGAATCGAGTGCCTCGGCAAGGCTCAAGGCTGTGGTTTTTGCATAGAGAGAGAGAGCGAGGGAGCCAATTAAGCTGTCACAATTTGTGTTGCAGCAGCAGTCATGTGTGGGGTATTTGTCAGTGGTTTTATACTGGCAGGGAGAGAAGGAGCAGCCACTGAGTCAGCGGCAATTTCGAATCGTTGTTAATTGAAAATTGTGAATTCAAAATTCTAGTTTACAGCTGCATAAGCAAACGCTATTGGCATTCCACATGCCAAAACGGAATCGCTGCTGAATGCGTTGCAAAATCAATGGCTACGAGTTGCCACTGCTGCTGGGAGTCCTGCACTTTGACAAATAACTGATCAGGCAAGCGAAACGCACCAACTGAACTGCAGCAAAATGGCAGCGGCAGAGTCCCAGAAAATGCTTCACAGAATGTAATTAAAAACTGATTTCACTGCCACAAAAT